TAGAGCGGGAGAAGGGGTTCGTCAGCTCTGCTGCCCCCACAACGTCACCGAAGAGACTATAAAGCGCGCCTGCAGCTCAGGATTCTCAGTTCTCCAGCCTATGCCCAGAGATCCGCCAGGGCGGGATCTGAGTTCCCCACTGGGTACAGTCCCAAATTGTTTCTTTCGCATCTGGTCCTTCCCGCCTCCCAGGACTGCAAACTCCTCAGAGGAAGTGCGGCTCTTGATCCCCATTAAAGGCTGGACCAAAGCATCCCTTAACCAGCAAGAGCTTCGGTACTTTGTCTGCCCCTTCCCGAGCGGGACTAACGACCGCCGGACACGACAGTGACCAGGAGGCAAAGAACAACTTTAAGGGAGTGGGCTAGGGCTGGCAGCGGGTGTGGGGCGAGGTCTCGGGCTACAGACCTGGGGCCATGGCCTCTCTCCCAGCAGCAGAGAACTGGACAGACTCCCCGGGAGGAGTCGATGTGGACTCCGGGAACCTGAGTGCTGCTCTGGGAGTCGGAGCAGCGACAGGGACAGCGGAGACTGAATGGCTGCATTTGCTAGTGCAAGGTGGCAACTTCTCCTCTTCCTCGGAGCTGGGACTGCCTGAGGCTTCGCCCGCGTCCTCCCAGCCCCGGGCCAACCTCACGAACCAGTTCGTGCAGCCGTCCTGGCGCATCGCTCTCTGGTCCCTGGCATATGGCGTGGTGGTGGCAGTGGCGGTCTTTGGAAATCTCATTGTCATCTGGATCATCCTGGCCCACAAACGCATGAGGACCGTCACCAACTATTTCCTGGTGAACCTAGCTTTTTCTGACGCCTCCATGGCAGCTTTTAACGCGTTGGTCAACTTTATCTACGCGCTTCATAGCGAGTGGTACTTCGGCGCCAACTACTGCCGCTTCCAGAACTTCTTTCCTATCACAGCTGTATTCGCCAGCATCTATTCTATGACGGCCATTGCGGTGGACAGGTGAGGGGAAGAGGGGGAGGAAGGAGGAAGGAGAGAGAACTAGGCTGCAAGATAAAGTTACAAAAGAAATGATGACTTAGTGGGGGTCTTCCAAAGTAAAGGAACTAAGAGTTTTTGGAGAGAGTCCAGTGGCTGAACCAGTGTCTGGTTCCCGTGGCCTCCTCCCACTCAAGCCTTAACTCTTTGAGGGCATCTGAGAGGGACTGAAGAAGGCAAAGGAAAGTGATGTAAAAAAAAAAAAAAAATTCTTTCCTTCTGAGTAGGACCATTTAGCTAGAAACATTTAATGGTACCAAATTTATTCAAATGACTTTAAACAATTGCCTGAAATTTAGGTTCACAGTAAAATGTTTTTTGTTGTTGTTGTTGTTGTCGTTTGTTTGTTTGTTTTTGTTTTGATTTGTCTTCCTTTTCTTTCTGTTGGTCACTATCCTGGCAATTACCCACTGACCTCCCCTCCTTTCTCTGGTCTGCTGGGCCTGATTCACAGGGTTCTCCCCACTCCCTAACTTTGCCTCAAAGCCAACACAGGTTTAGGCTCCCGGTGCGGTGCTGTAGATCTATATCAGAGGCAGCAAGTTCCCTCCAACTGCCAAGCTGACAGTTCCCATCATGTCTCTGTTAGCTTTAATTTCCAATAATTTGTGAAGATCATAAACTGGATAAACCCTGTGCCTGGAAGTGTGTAACAATCATTCAGAAGATGGGGAACATTAATCCATCCCAAGGATTAAGCGGTTTAAAAATGAGACACACTACTTTACAGATGTTTAAAATATTTTTTTCAGAACGAACCTCTATTAGAGTAGGAATTCTGAGATGTGTGAGCAGTTAAAAGAAGCTGAATGACCCTCAAACACTTGTTCCAGTATTCTGATTTCTAAAAATCCTGCATGCGTTTAATTTACTTTCTTATATTGAACAGTGTGAAATGTACACCCTTGTGAAAAGACAATGGTGAATCTACCTGTTATTGAAAGCTAGATATATTTTAATTCAATATTAAGTAGAAACAAATCACACCAGTGGATTCCAGGACTGGCTTTGTGATTGACTGCTAAATGAAAGATGCAGAGGAATGATGTCACTTTAATGTCTCAATGTTCTAATCTGTGAAAAGAAAAAAGAACTTTTTTATATTAACAAACCTTTTTCAAAGTAAAATGAGGCTAAATACTAATTGTTCCTGTGTTCAGTTGCCATTATGAGAAAAAAAAACTTTTAGAAAGTCAAATGATTTTTCCTCGAGTTTATCCTCTATGCTTACTATTTTGAAATGGCAAGCACAGTGGTATTAATAACATAGATCTATAGAAACTATTCTCATATACCAGGCCCAAAGGGTTAAGTTGAAAAAGCAGTTATTACATTCACTAGGATAAACACAAAGTAACACTTTTTAAAAGCCTTAGAACTTGTACTTTCCCTTTCTCCTAACCTCTGATCTTCCACACACTTTCACCCTTTCATTTCTGGATAGAAGTGAATGTAGAAAATGAACAAAATCAGCTCTAAGTTGGGACAGGTGAAAATGTCTCCTGTCTTGCTCCACCAATATAGAAGTGAATATTCTTTGAGTTTGTACATCTTTTATATTTTTAAAAAATTTCTCTTAAGTATTTGCTTTTTAAATATTGTGATCGGAGAAGACGTGTTAGCATATAATTTTATAAAATGCTCACAATCTTCTTGAAGTGGTAATGAGACAATATAAAATTTGATAGAAATTTTAGTGCACGTGAAGTTGGCATTTCGTTTCTAAGGGGAAAAAACAGGTTATTTTTCCAATTTCTTCCTGTCAACATTTCCGAAATGGTCATTTTAACTGATAACGTAATGCTATTTGATTACACTCACTGGTTTGAGATTAATGTGAACTTTGCTACTTATTCTTTTCTCCTTCTTATATCACTACAGCTATACAAAATTTATACAGAACAATTTGCTATAAAATCTGAAATATTCTTGGTTTGTATACTGAAAATATTCTTTAAATGTTCTTATTTCAGCAGACAATAGCTAAAAAGAAATACAGAAGTTGAGAAAACTCTGATTATGATAATTTCTGGACTCAAAGACTGTGTAAATATTACAGGTGTTAAAACTCTCAATAATTTACCAGTCCATGGAACTTTTCTGCATTGATGCCTTAACAAACATGGATTGGCAAAGCTGACCCTTTGAGATTTTCAGTCATTTTATAGATTACAGTTTGCAAGTAAATCCTTCTGGGGTTATGTGAATCATGCCTTTGCTTTTGGTTACATAGCCTAACTGCCTCATGAGCTGAGGACATATTTAGGATATGCTCGTAGAAATTAGTGCTTTATTGAAATAACTGTAAATACTAAATAATCCTTAATTGTTTCTCATTAATAAAGAAATACATCATTTAGATCATGGTGTCAAAGTTAGGCTTGAAAAGGTTTATGAAGACCTGTAGTCTACAAATGGAGAATTTTAAGCTAATGGTCACACGTTTGTCGTAATAAAAGGCACTGGGTTTTCTGTGAAATGTTTAGCACTCATTTGCACCTGAATGGTTTGCTTTTTATTTTTACTTTGTAAATAATTCTACTAAAAATTTGAATGTGAGAGCACAGGTTCAACTCCTCTGAAGAATGGTATCTACTGCTTTGTTACAAATTCCAGTGTTCTTACTGGTCAAGAATCTTTCAGTCCTTCTTACCTGGAAGGCCACTCCATCACCATCACCATGCCCCTGCCCACACAAACACACATGGTAGAATTATTTACCAATGAAAAGTTGCTTTTCTCTCCGCTGTCCTTCCCAAACTTACCATTTTGAAACATAGCATTTGGAAATTAGACTTATCTAAGAGATGCCAAGCTTTCCAAAGATCATGCACTTAAACTAAGATTCAATCACAGCACTCTGCTCTAGGAATGACAGTAGTCTTCACACCTGCATTATTACATCTTCTAACTAGTTGTGAAGTCTGTATTTGACTGGACAAAGTCAGCATCTTCAAGAAAATTAGATATAACACTTGTTTATACCATGAAAAAAAATATGTCTTTAAAACCCAGAGACATACCTGGCATGAATAATTATTAAAAGGAATATGTAGTTGAACTAATATGTAGTTGAACATAAAGGAATATTTTTAGTCAAAAAAA